TGCAGATGGCATGGAGGAAATCTTTGGCTCTCTGAATTCCTTGAAACTGGAAATCGAGCAAATGAAGCATCCATTGGGCACTCAACATAACCCAGCACGTACCTGCAAGGATCTGCAGCTCTGTCACCCCGATTTCCCAGACGGTGGGTCCCAGGACAGGGAGGATGAGGGGGAAACACTGTGAGTTTCCACACAGCACAAGCAAGTGCAGGAAGAAAAGGAATCTGGGGGGTCCTGGCCCTGGTTCCTCATGAGGAATGTGGCTAACAGGGAAGGAATACATAGAAAAGAGTTGGATTAAATGATTGTTGCAGGTTCCTTCCAACTGAAATACTCTAAGAATGGGAATATATGGTGAAAACCAGCTTTTCCTATAAGGTGCCACAGAATGATGTACAGTCAGAACATAACCTGGTTTCCAAAAAATACATAGAAATCGTGGCCTGTGAGAGAGATGAAACAGTCCTGGTAAGATGGCTGCTGAAGTGCCCAGGTCCTTCCTTCACAGTGCTGATTCTTTCTTTCCTTCTCTTCCCTCTTGTGCATCCAGGTGAATACTGGGTTGATCCTAACCAAGGATGTTCCAGGGACTCTTTCAAAGTGTACTGTAATTTCACAGCTGGTGGAGAGACTTGCATCTTCCCTGATAAGAAATCTGAAGGAGTAAGTCCATACAACTTCCTCCCTCCCATATCACAGTGATAAGAGATTGTTTCCTAATATGAATATTCATAGACAGTCAGTTTCAGGAGAACTGAACAATAGTAAGTAAGGATTAAAGATCCAGAACATTTCTTTGTTAAGCAGCGTTGGCGTCTAGAGCAAGGAATATGTTTATAAAGATAATTTCTTCGAGTAAGTCAGATTTAAACTGTGATCTGGGACAAGTCTTTGATGATTTCCCAGGCATAATAAATGCTAACACCTTTTTACTTTGCTTTAGAAAGGCAGGAGTGTTGGTGCAGGCACTGTGAGCTTCGTTTAACTCCTTCCCTTCTGCAGCCAGGTTGCTCTGCTCTCTGCATGCACAGGCACCATTGATTCCTCTGCCCTTGCTGTGTCTTGAAGCAGAGCAGATAAATGTTTTGCTCCTGTCATTTTTCCTGGTGCTTCTTGTGGGTGAATAATCCTCGATGATTGCAGCTGGCCTCCGTGCTCTTCCTGATGTCGATGCACGAGGTTGACGGAATCCTTTGGGCAATGATGTGCTTAGCTCAGCCGTACCAGTGATTTGTGTCCTGTCCCCACGTGCTGTTTTCCAGAGCTGCTCTCCTCTATACCTGGGGACCAGCTCCTGCACTGGCCAAGCAGAGACTCCTCTAAAGCAGCCTGGGGAGCATCTCAGTGCCTCAGTTGTGCTGGGTTAAGGTGCAGACAAAGCTGTTCACTGAAAGCTGTTTGCTTCCTGAATTCCATCCACCTGAAATATGGGCCAGCACAGGACAAGTAACATGCAACATAAATCTCCCCTGAGTTTTTGTTAGGGCTGTTTAACAGGAGATGGATTTCTTCTCATTTGCACTAACTTGCCAAGGCTTTCCTCAAAACGTTGACAGCTAAAACACAGAGTCTGCCCCTGATCTTGGGGCTGCTCGCACTCCTGCGACTGGCTCTTTGGCCTCACTGCATCCACCGTGGGGCTGCTTTTCTGAGCACTGTGATGCTCCTCAAATACAAATTGTGCTCCACTTTTGCAATACTGTTGCAAATAAAGGAAAGCTTCAGCCTGCTCTTTTCCCTCATAAAGGAATGAAACCAGCTATCACAGCAGCATTAAGTGTTGACTGAGTGGTTTTATTACAAGCCACAGCAGACTTTAAGCCATATCCCCTTTCCCTCCATCCTTAAGCCAGCAGAAACATGTTCACTTGCTTTATGGCTCACGTACTGGCAAGGAAAAGAGGATCCCAAGGTACCTGTATGTAGCTTGGGCATTGTTTTTGGAGGGATTTACAGCAGCAGTGCAGGAGCTCGGGGGAGGTCAGGGAGCAGAGAGCAGCCATGCTCCTCCCTTGTGCTCTGACTCGAAAAAGGATTCAGCTAATTACATGGGGCTGCCATAAAGGCTGCTCCAACAGCTCATTTCTTGTCATGGTCACCCCCTGCATTGGTCCAGGTAGTTGAGCTCCACCATGTGTGATGGTCCAGCACTACCTGTGGTGGATGCACTGACTGTGCTACTCCTTACTGCTGCACAAGTGCTGGAGGCAGGCAAAGGCTTTTCCTTAATCACATTCTTTGCTTTTCCCAGACCCACAGCATCTGAATTTGGTGTTAGAGTGACAGCAGCCTTCCCTGTTATCAGCACTGTTTTTCCACCCCAGCCCTCCCATGAAGATCAGTGCATCCTTTACCACTGATAGTACATTTTTCACTCTCTATCTTTCCTTTTACCTCTCCTGCCAACAGACTGCACTACTGGTTTTGCATCCAAAGTATGCAGGAGGCAGACATCATTAGCCCTTAGCCAAGGAGGCTGGTGCTAGGGCACTGCTGGGCAGCACCACACTGTCCCTTCTGCTTGAGAGGCTGCTGGCACCTTAGGGCACTGCTAACTGCTCTTGTTAGTGGTGTATAAGGATTAAGAAAGCAGTGTAGAGGCAGTTGGACAGTTTCTTTAAGACGTGCACACTCTGCTTGGGGAACTGAATGGAACTTTTTAATTGATTTTTGTTTTCTTCTTTCTCTCTTTCCTCCTTTGCCGTCCACAAACTAGGCTAGAATTACTTCCTGGCCAAAGGAAAACCCAGGCTCCTGGTTCAGTGAATTCAAGCGCGGTAAACTGGTAAGATGCATCTTGGTGCTTTCTGTTTTCTTTAACCCCTGTCATATTTTACAGAGTAAAATGGCTCGTTGGCCCAAAGAGCAGCCTTCCACATGGTATAGTCAATACAAGCGGGGGTCTTTGGTAAGTGGCTAACCTTGGCCCTCGTCTGAATCAGAGCACGTCATCTGCTTTGGTATGGCCAGACCTGTTGCACTCTGCATGCTGGACTAATCCCCATCCCACGTCGCCATACAGATGTTTAAGGTGGAATACTGAAAAGGAAACAAAACCCAATGGGGACACTTTTTTCCCATTGGCTTGAGTGGAAGCCAAGGAGTAGGTGACAATATTGCCCCTGCATTAGGAGGGGACACTGATGTGCTGGGGATGCTGCAGAGCTGGAGTTGCTGTAGGTCTGTCTCCACAGAGCACTGCGGGAGGGCTGATGCTGTCTCCAAAGCCATTCCCATAACAGCAAGGGCAAACCTGGGTGTCTCCAGTGCTGCTGTCCCCCAGCAGAGTAGCTTTACCCCAAGAACTGAGAAAGCCCTAACATGATGCTTCGTCCGGAGCTGGGCACAGTGCTAGTGCAGTCTGCTCACTGGTAGGCAGGTGAGGTGTGAATCTGCACATCTCTACTCTGGGGCAGGGTTTCCCTAAAGGATGGGTTTTGTCTCTCGCCCTGGAGCTGAGGCACATCAAGAGCTCCCATACCACACAGAGCAGAGAAAAAGCTCTGGTATTCTGTCCTGTAACAGGATATCCACAGTGTGGATAGATGAGTCCCACAGAGCCCCAGGGAGGTCAGAGCAGCCACTGATGAGTGTACACCAGATCTCCTTAAGCCACAGCTCTCTCCTGTGTTAGTATGAACTCCTGTACGATGAGCAAGGTGCAGATATGAGCCCAGTCAAATGAGAACTAGGGAAAAAGGAGATACTCAGTGGATAAAACCGACCTGCCCTAGAAGCAGGAGCTGCTCTGTTGTACCATGCTGACCTGTCTCATACAGTTGTCCTCTCCTCAGGGCAGAGGTTTCTTGCAGTGCCCAAGCTTCCACCTTAAAGTCAAACAACAAAGCAAACCACCACGTTGTTTTCCTAAGCCGCGTTTCGTTGCCACTAAACACATTTTGCTCTGGTTCTGCCCACAAGAGGATATGGCTTCTGCAGCTTCTCTGTATTACTGAACAAGGCCACAAAGCCAAGGCTGCAGCCTCGTAGCTCCTTGGAGGGCAGCTACTCATAGCTTAATTACAGAGCACTCCATCAGTTAATGTTACAAGTAGCTCCATTTCTCCACCTTCTCTGCTTTTTTCCCTGTTCAATCTGTTTATCAGCCAAGTTAGAGGCTGAATTGCCAGCCTAGAGCTTAGGGCCCTTTAGTTTGTTAAATAGGAATTTCAGTGCTACTTGGAACCCTTAGTTCCATATTTCTGTGCTGCAGTTTTCTTTCTTTTTTTACCTGTCCTGCACTTTCTGTTTGGAAAAAAAAGCCACCAGCACGTAGAAGACCTGCCTAAGCAAAGCAGACCTGCTTAAGCCAACCACAAAGCACCCAAGCCAGAAAAGTACAGTTTGAATATTTATCTTCATTTCAAGTACCTTTCATTTTCCCCAGTCTGTATTTGGAACCATGAGAACAGTAAATTGGGGAGACACTTGCCTGGATCCAACATCAGTTGAAATCTGTGTGTAGATGGGTGAGATAAATGAGTTTGAGTCCCCCCAGGTGCTGCATTGCCCATGGTACTCCATAGAGAAGGTCCCTGGTGTCTTTCCACGCAGCCTGAGCATGGTCTCCTGGGGGAGCTGAGCCCCACGGGGGTCCCTGATGCTGTGGGGAAGGTTTCCACCCGGCTGCTCAGCACTGAGGGAGCACAGACGGCTCTGTGTGAATCTCAATGCTTGCATGAGGTGTGCTCACCTTTCTTCTGGGAATAGCTGAAGGCCGAAGGGCGTAGGAAATGAAACACAAAGAAAACATCTTGTTTTGATGCTTCCACACCATCATTAATCAATGACACGGAGTTCTTGGATCTGATTTCTTACCCTTTCTCACGATGCAGCCAAACTGCATTAGAGGGATAAAAGGGATGCAGATGTGTTTTTTTCTGGACTCTGCTTTCCTTCCCTCTGTGTTGCACACAAATCCCAGGAGCTTTAACAGGGCCTGCCACCCATCCTGTCCTGTTATCCTTCACAGCCATATGGCATCTGCCACGGGAAAGTGCTATCACAGAGCAAACAGGAAAGGACTGACTTTTGCAAACCCACATTCCCACAAGCCAGCCGGTTCCCAGTGGCTCCAGTCGCAAAGCTGGGACAGGGCTTTGTGCAACCTGCAGAGGCAGAGCAGGAACCAAGACCCCTCAACAAGTAGTCAGTCTCCCAGACTAAGCCCTGATTTGAAACAAGAGAAGTAGGTCCTGCAGATCAGTAGTGCCCCATGTCTTTGGGGGCATGTCATCCACTTGACATTTTGTGCCCCATCCTTCCACGTCCTGGTGGTTTTCTGATAGCTCTCCTCTTGGCATGCGCGTCTCTCTCATGGTCAGTCATATTTCACTCTCAGGAGGACAGCACAACAGTATCCTGACAACCGGTTGGTATATCTATTTATTTATATTATCTTTTAATTCAGTATTGTATTGCCTGGTTACGAATCTCTTCTACTGTTTGCAGCTCGCACCACAGCTCGATGTTTGGTGGTACCTTGAACAACATCACACTGTTTGTGTGCCTGTATTTTTTTCCTGGTTGTTTCTAAAGAAACCCATTTTCCATAGAGGGCAGTAACAAGCAGTGGCTCTGGTAGTGTGTTGGTGCCCGGGAAGAATGAATGGGAAATACCCCTGTGTGTGCAGGATGAAGTCAGAATGACAGCCAGAAAATAACATCAAATAGAACAGACAAAGCCCCAGCCCTTACTGAAATCTGTTTCCTCTTCAAAAGCTGGAGAAATATGCTCAGTATTGGCTTAAACCTGAGGTATCTATCCCCATATTTGCACTCTTTTACAACCAGAGCTGAAATCCCTCTTCCTTTTTCCTCCTGCCATGAATTAGCCTGATTTTTTTAGCTCACAACCAGACCCTCAGAAATAAACTGCCCCTCAGTAGCTATGTCCTGCAGCCTTGTGTCCATAGCGTGACAAGAGCAGGGTCTGCGCCTCAGTGAGATGGTGAAACCAAGCCCCATGCACAGGATAATAAAGATGGGTGAGACTGATGGTCCTCAGAGCCCCCAGACTTGTTGTGTTGTCCCTCACTGCCCAGTGTTTCCCCTTCTCCACTTCCCATAGCTCTCCTACGTGGATTCAGACGGAAACCCCATCGGTGTGGTGCAGATGACCTTCCTCCGGCTCCTGAGCGCTTCAGCCCACCAGAACATCACTTACAACTGCTACCAGTCCGTAGCCTGGCACGACGCCACCACCAACAGTTACGACAAGGCCATCCGCTTCCTGGGCTCCAACGACGAGGAGATGTCCTACGACAACAACCCCTACATCCGAGCCGCCCTCGACGGCTGCGCGGTACGTGAGCAGCGCTGGGCACTGCCGGATGTGTCCGTCCCTTCCCCTGCTCGTCCAGCACCTTCTGACTCGGTGCAAGTCACCTCCACATTTCCTGTGCATGTTGAGGTAGTTGCCTGGAGGGTTGTCCACAGCATGGGAGACATGGAGCTTGCTCTTCCCTAATGCTGGGAATATGCGGTTCCACTTGAGGTCAGGGGAAGCTGCAGCACCTCTAGGAATCAGGTTGATTTGCTGCTTTGCTGGCTGTGCATAAAGGGACCTACCTAAAACCACAGGTTGCTTTTAAATAGACCCCTTGCCTTTGCTCCTTCTCTATTATAGAATCATAGAATAGTTAGGGTTGGAAAGGACCTTAAGATCATCTAGTTCCAACCCCTCTGCCATGAGCAGGAACACCTCACACTAAACTATGTCACCCAAGGCTCTGTCCAGCCTGGCCTTGAACACCGCCAGGGTTGGAGCATTCACAACTTCCGTGGGCACACTACTCCAGT